TATGTTTATTATAATTTGGTGTATTTAAACTATTAATACTGTATATATAGTATACAATATAAATAGTTCTTCGTAGTTTTGTTATATAATATAATTACTAATATTTTCTTATATTTTATAGTCGTTTATATTTTAAAATCGTATGATCATCTTTAATCCTAAAAAGAAACATGTGTGCAGATCACACGTGTTAGAAGTGAAATCTTCAAAAAATGAAGTTTCGAGTGAATGAGACGAATACTAAATATCTGGTGTAAGATAATTGTATTCTCTTCTTATTTAGTATCGCGGCCGTTTCATCGCCTCTCACCGCTTCGTTACATAGCCGCCTACCGCTTCGTTTCATCGCCGCCTACCGCTCCGTTACATAGCCGCCAACCAATCCGTTACATTTTTTCAAATCACACCCATACTAAAGAAGTTTTCACTTGAATAAAAACAAACTTAGGCATATGTGTGTATGTACCTCATAAGTACATTGAAATGAATACATAATGTAAGTGTAACGTAAGTGTAACGTAAGTGTAACGTAAGTGTAAGACGTAAGAATATTGAAAGAAACTTCTCAAAGTGTTCACACAACGATCTTACTTCTCATATTACCATAATTCCACTTGGATGGTCATCGTTGTGAAGAAACTTTTTCTCCCTTTTGAAATAGTGAAAAGAAAGCTCCGGGTTTTTCTTGTTCTCCTTCAGTGCATCTCGCTGATTGGCAAGCATGGAATACAAAATCGTGTTCAGTTCTTTATCGAGAATATTTGCTGCTACTTACACATTGCTACAATTTTTACCATCCTCAACATACCTTGGTATTCCTTTTCAAGGCTATTCGCAATATTTTTACGTTCTTACATAATATTCCAATCTATATTACATATATATACTACTTTACTTTTATCTTTTACGAGCCGTCAATAACATTCGTCTACATTTTTTTTTAATTATATATACTTCACATTTATTATTAAATTTATTTTGAAATATTCTCATAATTTTTTATCTGTTCTTTTGTTGTATTTGCTTTTATAATTGTTACATATACACATATATTTATATTGTGGATTGTTTATCATGAAAATGATGAAAATCCATTATCGATTATTGTGACATATATTTATATAAATATATAAAAATATAATATTATTTTATATATAAATAGTATGTGTTAAATATACAGGGTGATCTGTAATTAAGAGTACAAGTGAAAAAGGGGATGATTCTACATGATAAAAAATAAATGGAAAATACAAAAAAGTTTTCGTTTTGTTCATCGATTTTCTCAAAAACTAAGCCTCAAACGAAAAATATTTATTCTATATTTATACTAAAAATAAATAAAATATATTATATATAAATATAATATAAAATAAATTACTATAATTATTATAAATATAAATATAATACTATATATAATAATATATTATTTATAATATAAAAAATATTATATTTTTATTATATATATATATATATAATTTATATTATATTATATTAAATTTTATATATAAATAATACATATATGTTAAATATAAATAATAAAACAATATCTAAATATATAAATAAATTTAGATATAAACAAATATACAACACACACATAAAAATAAATATAATATAATATAATGTAATATAATATAATGTAATTTTATATATTTAAATAACACGCATTGTTAAATATATATATATATATATATATATATATATATATATATATATATATATATATATATATAATAATAATAATATAAAAATATTTGTATAAATTCTATTTAATAATAATAATAATAATAATTAATATTTCAAATATATTTATATACTGGTAAAATCGTTTACAGTTAGATACGTCGTTGATAATCAATAGAAAAGTATATTATATATAATATATCATATATGTACTCGTATATGTCGACAACAGAGAATTAATCGCATAAGTTTTTCCTTTTGTGTTCTGACAAAAGGGCCGATCAAAGTTCCATCGATGTCATAATAAAATATTCAGTCCATATTATTGGTACGCGTTCAACGGTTAAACGAGATTAATATATATAGACACACAACACACACACATATATATATTTCTGGATGCACATTGCATATATAGAAAGAAGACAACAAGAAAAGTATAGAAATGAAAATCACTATTTCTCTGTCATATGAAATAACATTGACTATACACACACATACATACACATGCATAATTTTCAATTTTTATAGATACATATCATATTTTATAAATATATGTGTATATAATGAATTAGTATGACTCTACAAAATGTATCTACTTTTTTGAAATAACATAACAAATGTAATAAAGAAAGAGGTGATAGAATTTTATTACATATATTCAACTTTTTATTTTTATTTTTATTTTGTGTGTGTGTGTGTGTGTGTGTGTCATTCAGTTCGATCTACCATCGACAATAAATCTTGAAGAAAACGTAACTCGATGTCTACGATCGAATATATGACTCTATTTACGATCAGGAATAGATGGATGAATGAAGAAGAGAAAGAAACAAGGACGAGAAGAAAAATAGAGAGGGACTATGTTAAAAATTGAATGTGTCAAATGTAACATTAAATTTTCTATAAGTATAAATGTTACATACATATATATATCAATAGAATTTTGTTATAATATATTTATGTACTTATTTTTCTCATTTGAAAGAAATATTAGATACAATAAAAATATGTTTTTGTTTTTACATATTTCTATATATGTATATATTAGTCTATAATAAATATTAATATATTTTATATATTTTATATATTTAAAAAAAATATTTTTTATATATTAAAAATGCTAAATATCAAATATACAAAATATTGTATGTACATTTATTGTATTATAATTATAATATTGTATTAATTTGCAATAATATATTATACATATTAAATATTAATATTTTATATATTATTTTTTATATTATACACAATATTTTATATTTATTTATATTTTATATATTTATATATTTAAAAACAAAAATTATTTTATATTTAAAATGCCAAATATCAAATATACAAAATATTATATTTACATTTGTTGTATTATAATTATAATATTGTATTAATTTGCAATAATATATTATATATATTAAATATTAATATTTTATATATTATTTTTTATATTATATACAATATTATATATTTATTTATATTTTATATATTTATATATATTTAAAACAAAAATTATTTTCACATGTAAAAAGCAAAATATCAAATATACAAAATATTATATTTATATTTACTCTATTATAATTATAATACTGTATTAATTTATATTAATATTAATTATACCTTATATTTGTTTTTTTCATAAATAAAAACTTTATCTATACGTATTCTTTTAATTCTTTCTCTTTTTCATCCTATTTCTTTTTATTTTTAAATTTCTTTTGATTATTTATACTATGTACTATATATATATATACATGAAAGAATTGATGATCATAAATAAATATCATTTACAATTTACAGTCGAAATTCTGCTTATTCAGAATAAATCTATTGTTGCACGCGTATGTACAAACGATTTCGATACTTGCGAGCTTTGTTCATCAAAGCGTATGCCTATTTACAGTTCGTATGTCGTGCAGTATGTGTGCATACTGCAGCATCCGTGCGGAAATTCATCCTACTTGGAAATTTACAGAGGATAGATACCGTGTTGACTTCTCCATGCGTTCGTTCACGTGCGTGAACTTACATATTACAAGATACGTTCTTCCAAGAAAATTAATATTAAAAAATATTTAATATACTTGAAATATACTCAAGACGAATATAAATAACATTTTAAACAATTATTATTTGTATTGTATAAATAAAAAATTAAAAATATTAATTTCTATTGAAAAATACGCAATTGAGTTCAAAATCATTTTTCCTAAACTTTCTGATTTTAATTTGAAGATTTTTGTTGACAAATTTCTATAGAATTTTATTACGTACACCTTGTATAATTCATTTGAAGATCATTTTTATTTATCCATTAGAAAATAGCTTATCTTAATCAATATGAATCATTATTAACGAAATAATAAAGTATCGATTTGATTTGTTTTAGTTGAAAACGGTTCTTCACAACTCTCTTTTCTATCTGTTGGAAACAGACATTTTTTATCAACGTCAAGTTGAAGGATTCATTAGTAAAGCTCCATGAATAGTAGGAATCCTCGAGGATCTTCTTCAAGAGTGATTAAGAAAGATAGTTAAGTTACAATGAAAGCCCGATCGATGATAATGTCGAGTTGCGATAGAAAGAATATTAGAGCTCGTTTATTCACGTGTCTCAATGTCAGCTGACAATTCCGATTGTTCCTCAAGATTGCAAATGATTTCTTTTTCTTTTTAATTTTATTTTTTTTTTCTATTCTAACAGTTGAATTAAACGTAACTTTAATTAGAATTAAATTAGAGTTTTGATCATTATTTTTTCTTCGTAATAATTCGATTAAGTTGGTCAATTGATTTGTTAGTTAATATTTTTGAAAATATACGTTTAACTGAATATTTCACACTTCTGTGCATGTGTATGACAATGAACTCCTCCTAAATGGCTGGATTGATTTTAATGAAATTTTGTGTGTGTCTTCAGGTGGATTCGAGAATGGTTTAGATTTACAATTTGGTCCAATTTGAATTGTTTATTTAATTAATTTTTTATTTATAAATTGTTATACGACAAGTTTATAGGTTGAAGTTTAGTCAATTGACTTATTAGTTAATATTTTTAAAAATTAGTATTACCAGTATATGTTTTAACTGAAAATAATAATATTATTATATTAATTAATATAAAATATTATTTTTTTATATATAATAACATAGTATTGTATTTGGAATTGACTAATAAACAACCATAATTCAATATTTTCTATATAAACAATACAATTTCCCTAAAAGCAATTATATTATTAACAATTTAAACTAAATACAACTCAATTAATATAAATTATTTTTACATTTAACATTGTAATTGTATTTGTAATTAAAAAAATTGACATTTAAGAAAATAAATTAAATAACATATGATAAAAACGGGAGAATATTATTTGTTCGAACCTGTGGTGCTTTACTTGCGATTGACGACGATATCCACCCTGTATCGACCCAGCAACGCCCACCCCAAAGAACAACTCCCACCATGAACAACCAACCTATCTACTACTAGCAGCAATTCCTCCTACAATTTCATCCAAAAATCTAAAAACGCAATGCGACGCACCGCATACGGATTGATCCTCTCTCTTCTCAATAAAACTTTGATGGCTTTTTGAAAAGTTGTCTTTATAAACATCGTATAAGTCCTCTTGTTTTGCTTTATTTATCATTTATATCCTAAAAATTTGTTATTTCATAATATATATAAATTGAATTTTAATATTTTGAGAGAAAACCCATACATAAAATAAAAAATCCAATTTGTTGAGAAATACTGTGGAAAATCAAATAAATTATTTTAATTCTATACATAAAAATTGAATTATTTATACAAAGAAATATAATTATGTATTAGAATAAAAATTTAACCAAATTCTAACCTCAATTTTGTTATATAAAATAATATATAAAATTGTTATTATAAAATTAGATCTATTTTTATCAAAAATCATTTTAAATAATATAACAAATTATTTCTTTGTATAAAAATAAAAGAATATTATAAATAAATAAATAAATGTTATGTTATAAATAAATAAACAAATAAAATAAATTTTAATTCTATACATGAAAATTGAATAATTTATACAAAGAAACATAGTTATGTATTAGAATAAAAATTTAACAAAATTCTAACCTCAATTTTGTTATATAAAATAATATATGTAAATTGTTATTATAAAATTAGATCTATTTTTATCAAAAATCATTTTAAATAATATAACAAATTATTTCTTTGTATAAAAATAAGAGAATATTATAAATAAATAAATAAATGTTATGTTATAAATAAAGAAAAAAAATTATATAATATTATTGTTGTTATTCAATACTTACAATCCCAAGTAAAAGTGAACATATTCTTATTGAATAAATAATTAATAAAGACTACTCCCCTCGCTTTGTAATGTAGAAGTTTTAACACAGAAAATACGCAGATACACATCGATCGTCTAAAACTCATTAATTATTGCAAAACAAAACGCATACTTTGACAAGAAAATAAAAGGAACTTTCACATATGACGGGAGTTTAAAGAAAACTTACCGCGAAAAAATCGCGCCAAATATGAAACGATGGCGCCGTCTGGTATCATTATTACGAACTTCTGCTAGGGATCTATACATACATTTAAATAATTATTAAAACAATATTAATTATAAAATCTATACATATAATATAATACAAATGTTACTATGATTATTTTCTTTCTATTTGTAATATAATAAATTAAAATTAATGACAAATAATAGAAATAAATGTATACTTACATGTGTCCAAATTTTAAACGTCACATTTTACTATTTGTTGGTACGATCCTTTTATTTGAATTTTTTCTTCCAGATACCTGTAAAAAATACAAAATAATTAGTAAAATAATATTAATTATAAACTATTGTACAAATTTTACAACATACATTATTCTTTCACTTGTTAATCATTAAAAATCGTTAAAAAGAAATAGGAAAAAAATGTATGCACACAACCAAAATGTAGACGCCATATTAAAACTACTACTTGATACAGAAATAAATCAAATGAAATCCTTTTATTTTAATTTTTGTTTTTTTTTTTTTAATAATCATATTTGTCTTCCATTTTTATTCTTATTATTATTATTATTATTATTAATTTAATTTCTTCCTTATCATTATTTGTCTATAAATATTCTGATTTTTTCATTCGATTATTTAATGTTTTTCTTTTTATTATCTTTACATACAAAAGTGATTCTAAACTTTCCCTTTTCACCAGATCTTTACAAATTGACAAAGCTGTATAAATGATTGACTCACAGCTGTAAAAATCAAGGAAGAAAGCATGTTTGGCGCTGAGTGTCAACTATCGTGTATTTTAACAGTAAATAGAAAGTAAATATATTCATTTGAAACATTGTTCTTTGTTTTGTTAAACTTTCTTTAACTGTGATACAATTTTTAAATAATCAATATCATTTATCTGTTTAAAAAAATATATACTCTAATAGTTTGATCATCTTTAACATCAAAAACAACAACAACAACAAGAATAATTTTAAAAAGACACATTATGTTTCATTTTAATTGTGACAAAAAGTGTAAGTTGTTGATATTGTGAAGATATATTTATAGTGTATTGCAACATGAAATTTATTGAGTGAAAGTAAAAGATAAAATAAAAAATAAGATAATCTCTGATGAATTTCTCTGAAGATTGAATGTTATCAATCATTAAGTTTCATTACTGCAATCCAAACGGGTTTCCAAAATAATTCCCGTTTACGTTACGTGTACAAAAATGGAAACTGAAGAATATGATAACCCTAAGGAAATAAAAGCAACATTAGAAACATATAAAAAATTAGCTAATGATTTTTCTAACCATGACACTATCTTAAAGGTAAGAAACAAATGTAATATTATTATTTTTATCTGTTAGATGGACCAGAAAAAATAATGTCACTTTCTAACCTTAAATTGAAATGAATAAATGTCTAATAAATTTACATTTATAATCAATAACATAATCAATCTTGTTATCAACAACCTTTCTTTATCTAATATGCACATTTTTAATATCAATTTGATAAGAATTAATCGATTATTGATAAAAAAATATACAAAATTTGACATTTGTAAAAATGACATTTCTTTCCAGTTCACCTAATATAAATTTAATACATAAATACAATGTTATTAAATATTTTGATAATTACAGGATAAAACAGTCTTGTCCTATGTAGCATATATTCTTGAAGTACCTTATTTAGATATTATCAATCTCTCATTAGACATATTAGAATTGTTTATTAAAAATACTGATAATTATGTACACATAACCTCAACCTTTGGAATAAGGGAAGCCTTAGACGCAGTTGTCAACAGATTTTTATTGAGTGAACCAGAAATATCTAAAAGAGCACAGCATTTAAAAGATAATATTGAACGTATGAAACCACCAATATATAATTTACGCAGTAGGTGCAGAATTATTGAAAGAAAGAAATTAAAAACTCATGTAATTGTATTACATGTACAAGGCTTATTACCGGTAAGTTCTTTCTTTCATTCTTCTTAATAAAAATTATGTTACAATTAATGATTCTAATGATTAATATGTTCAACAGGAAACTAGATCTGAACTTGAATCAACGTTGATCAAAGTTGAGGGATTGATATCTCTTGTGATAGATGTGGAACATCAACGTGTTACCATGCGTACATTGAACAATGTTACTGCTAAACATATTGCTGATGTTATACAAGAACGTTTAGAAAATATGGAAGCATGGCTAGTTACTAAAAATAAATTCAATCAAGAATTTCTAGTTAGATTGGTAATTTGATTAATTATTAATTAATTATTAAATGAAATTCTGTTATTAACCTTTGCTTACCAAAAGACTCAGACCTGTTTTTGCAACTTCAGTCATTTTTCTCAATTGTTCATCAAGTTTGGATAATTTTTTAAACATATTTAAATTTAATTTAAAGCTATAAAATCTATATAGTCTTTTTAAGTAAGTATTAAAGTAGTCTCAAAAAAATGTTGAAGTAAATCTATGCAATAGTTAATTTTTTATAATAATTTTTCTCGCCCAGGTCCATTGGACCCAGGTGTGGTAAGCGTGTTACTCCAGGAAGGGTGGTAAACAAAGATTAATGAAAATTCTTTGTTTCAGACTCATAAAGAAGATACAGATGACATTGAAAACATGCCGGAATACTTACCAGAGGAAGAAGAACAAGAAGATGAGAAAGAAGGAGTCGTATCTTTGTTTAGTGGTTTAAGACAAAGTGCATCATCTTTATACAAATCTACGACAGAATTTCTTCATAATTCATTTTATTGGTAAATCCCAATTAATCGATTAGAATTCATTCTTCTAATTATGCAATGTTCTTTTTTTTAAATAAGAACATATTAATCAATGAATCATTTTCATTTAAAAGACTTTTTAAATCAATAGTTATTTTATTTATTATATTAATATCCTAAATAATTATCATCATGGATGTACCTTTTTTTTTGTCTTTTTTTAAAACTAGTTTTTGTTTTCTTAATAAAAGGTATAAGACACGTTACAGAAAATAATTGTATAAGAGTAACGAATAATCTCATGCATGTACCTCTATTTACCAAAGTTCATATTTGAACTACAATGTATATAATAATAATAATAATAATAATAATAATAATAACACGAAGTATCTCGAATGTTTCTTAAAAATGAAAATGAAATAAGAAAACATGTGTGCTATTGTAAGTTATATGTGATCAAAGACCATTGAATCTTTTAAGCATTTACAGTTAGTTACTTATTTATGCAGCATATGACTTCTTCTTCTTCTTCTTCTTTAATATACATTATACATTAGTGCGTTATAATTATTATTGATTTTAATTGGACAATTAGAAACATAAATCTCATTTTTATGTTTTAAAATGCCTATATATGTATCTCTGTTAAACATGTTATCCAAATAATTCTTAAGAAAGTGGATATATTATGAATAATACAAAAAAAAACCCAAAATGTGTTATTTAAAATAAAATATTAACGATACATTGTTCGATAATTAATATATTCTCTACTTTGTTTCTTTTTTCTTTTTGTTTTTTAAATTCAAAATATTCTAAATGTCCCTTTGGGTATAAACTGAGACAACAACCAATCATTATTTAACAGAATAAATTAATTGTTTAACCCTTAAAGTGCACATGAGATGTTTGATACCCCAATGTCAAATTGATTTCTCAAAAATGGTGCTGAATTTGAAAAAATGGGTTTATTTGTTGCCATCTAGTGTTAATTCAGATAAAACCTATTCTATTTGAAAAAAGATGTATCAAAGTACTTTGACAAAAATTGCGAGGTCTAAATATTAAATAGCAGCTTCAGGAGACTAGTTCAAACAAACGTTGGGGGTGTCAAACACCCACAGTGGTGCACTTTAAGGGTTAATTCAAACACGTTGGGGGTGTCAAATACCCACAGTGGTGCATTTTAACTAATTTTTACCAAGTGTGTGCACTTTAAGGGTTAATTCAAACACGTTGGGGGTATCAAACACCCACAGTGGTGCACTTTAACTAACTTTTACCAAGTGTATGCACTTTAAGGTTTCATTCAAACTATTTATTTTGAAAAATACTCATTGCAATATTCTAAGCTAATATATTTATGGGGTAGTATTTATACCATAATTTAAATATCCAAATAAATGTTTAATATTAAATAAAATAAATAATATTAATTAAAATCAAATAGAAATAAGTCAAATGTATTTTTAGGCCGTAATTAATGAAGTTTATTATACATAACATGAAATTTGTCGTCTGTAGCATTTCTCCTATTATCAAAGAATAATAGACTTTAATCAATTAGCTGCTAATACATGGAAAGGTATAATATACACAATTACATGTATATGTAGCTATCAGCATAAATATGTTGAATACAACATATGTATATATAATTATAGAAATGAATACCTCTACACACTGTATAAATCACTAATCACTTCGTTCGTTTGTTTGTATTTGTTTGTTTGTTTTTTTTTTACACCTTCTTTACACAAGTGAGGAGCACATCAATACATTTTGCATATAATCTTAAAATTATTATTATTATTATTATTATTATTATTATTTTGTAAATCTACATTGTATTGTCCATTATTTACAGACATATATTATATAGTAATAATAATTGTCATTAAGGCAATCTGAGTTTCAAAGCAGGTACAATAGATGTGAATGCGAAATATTTTACGTTGTAAAATATACAGTTAACTTTTTCTTTTTTTTTTTTTTTATCTAACTCTCTTTATTCCTCTCTCTCTCTCTTTTTATTTATTTATTTATTTTACAGTCAAACGTGTATATAAGAGAGCTGCCTAATAGTTTTCATTGCTTGTAATTTGACTGAATTGAGTATATCGTCAGAATACAATTAAATTGCTATCGTCCATAAGTTTATTCTCTTTTTTATTTTTTTATTTTATTTTTCAAACTCAGATTATGACTTTTTATAATATTTTATATATATATATATATATAAAATGATTGATTGTTTTTAACCCTTAAAGTGCACACACTTGGTAAAAGTTAGTTAAAGTGCACTGTGGGTGTTTGACACCCCCAGCGTGTTTCATACGCGTCTCCTGAAGCTACTATTTAACACGTTGGCTACCGTGGGGGCCACCGGTGACCGGCTACAGTCGTCGTGGGGACCACCAGTGACCGGCTACAGTCGTCGTGGGGACCACCAGTGACCGGCTATAGTCGTCGTGGGGACCACCAGTGACCGGCTATAGTCGTCGTGGGGACCACCAGTGACCGGCTANCCACCAGTGACCGGCTATAGTCGTCGTGGGGACCACCAGTGACCGGCTATAGTCGTCGTGGGGACCACCAGTGACCGGCTATAGTCGTCGTGGGGGCCACCACTGACCGGCTATAGTCGTCGTGGGGACCACCAGTGACCGGCGACGCATAATGAAAAATTCATGTTGGCGCTTTGAGCAAGTCACGTAAAATTCGCGTGGCAGCCAACGTGTTAATATTTAAACCTCGCAATTTTGTTAAAAGTACTTTGATACATCTTTTTTAAAATAGAATAGGTTTTATATCTGAATTAACACTAGATGGCGCAACAAATAAACCCATTTTTCGTTGGAATTCAGTACAATATTCGAGAGATCATAAATTTGTTTGGGGGTGACAAACACCCCATGTGTACACTTTAAGGGTTAAAATGGTAAAGCTAGTCTAAAAAATGATGAACTTTCATTGTTATATTTTTCGCGCTAATTATGATAATGATAAATGATGATGTGACTACGATGATCATTTAACGAACTAAAAAAAAATTAGGAAAAAAAAAACAAAAATAATTTGATGAATTATTTGATCTGCTTTGGAAAACAGAATGAGTATAAACAATTAAGTACAATGTATGTATGTATGTAATGTGTGTATATGTGTATTTAGTATTCAATATGTCACCTGCGCGCTATTATCTTTAAATGACAATTGTACATATATATATATAATATATATATATATTGCTTTTTTTATTATTCAGCTCTTATTTATTCTCTCTTTTTATTATATTCAGCTTGTATTTTTTTTTTTTTTAATTTAAATTTAATTCTTAATATTGGTGTTTTCTTTTAACTTTAGAATTTTACGTAATAACGTATATTTAAATCCTCGATTATCCAAAACAACTGTAAAAGATTTATTTCCTTTTCCAAATCTTATTTTTTTTTTTTTTTTCGTTTTTTTTCAGATAATCGAATTCAATGACAAAATTCAATTTTGTCAATCATTATTATAAAAAAAAAAAATTATTATTATTATATGTGTATATATATATATATACACTAATTAATTAATCCTAAATTAGGAATAATGTATTATTATTATTATTATTATAAGTTCATTTAAATTCATTTATTACATTTGAAATTGAATATTTCGAATGATCAAAATTCTATTAGATGCCATACTATGTTTCAAGAATTATTTTGAAAGACTATACTTTATATATATATATATATTTATATAATAAATATATATGTATTACGTATTAAACGTAGCAACTATATTCTTTTTCGAATTTATATAAATTGACGCGTTTCATTACAAATGGCCATCGATATTATTTTCTTATTATGTTGCCATATTTAAATTATCTCTAATTATTATTATTATTGTTGTTGTTATTTGAAATATTTTCCTTCATCATCGTTTTTTATTCGTGAAAAATACTTTCATTAATCTGTCTTTTGTCTTTTATTTATTTATTTTTTTTTGGTTTATATAAAAAGCCAAACAACACATCTCTTTTTCTTGCACCTATGCAAAAAAATATTTTTTTTTTCAAACGCACTATTATTTTTTCATTTGATCTAATTTTTATTTATTTTATTTTTTTTTTTTTTTTTTCATTTGCCATATGCCGCTATTATTTTTTGTAATAATGAAAAAGAATTGTGATATATGTTAATTGTTCTCTAAATATTTTTATACAAAATAAATTCATTAAACCGATGCAGCATCCATATACGAATGATTATACTGGAATGATTTCAATTTGTTAATGCACTCAGATATTTGTACAGGATATTATTATTATCCAAAGTCTTATCGCATATTGTACCATTTACTGATTTTACGATTTACCAAAAACAACAATGTTTAAACAATGTTTGTTTGATATAGCTCAAGGGGGTCGGCAACCTTTTCAGTTGGAAGAGTCAAAAATTACAATTTACAAAATTTCACTGTTTTTCAAGAGAGCCACCAAATTTTGTCTTGCCAACAATAAATAGTACTCGCATAAATAAAGTTTTTTTGATTAAAAATAAAAAACTAAAGAATAAACTAAAGGAACTAAAGAG